ATGGTGTAATTAAGGTGTACTATAAAATACTACAGGTGGCGGTTGTAAACGCATGGATAATATATCAGGAAATCCATCACGAGAAAACGAAGCTGATCAAATTCCTTGTTCCTCTTGCTCAGCAAATGATTGCGCAGGGGAGGGAAAGGACGGCTAACAGGCGCAAGCCCGGCATGGGGAGGCCACCAAAAATTTCAGGAGGATCATCAACGTTGGGGACCATATGCCACTACAGTTAAAAACGCGTCGGCGATGTAGATACTGCGCGATGTCAAAGAAAGAAACTCGTACAAAAATAATGTGTGCTGCTTGCAACGTGCCCTTGTGTATATCATGTTTTACTCCGTACCATTCATAGACCATATAATGTTGACCTTTTCAAACTTTTTTTTGTAAAATTTTCGGGTCATTGAAGACTTTAATATTGTAAAAAATGTGTGGTTGTAAGCTCATTAATTGCCAATTTATTAAACAAAAAAATCATCCGAGCGGAAATGGTGTTATGACAAGACGGGCCGCTACCGCGCGCATGGTCCCTAGATCAAATCCCAGGTCACACCCAACGTACATCAGCCAAATTTCTACAGCTGGTTGCCTGTTGCTTGGGAGTTATTTGCTTTCTCCCAACCGAGTTATGAAATTTTTCATAAAGCACTGCTTTTTTGGAGAACGCCCCGCCCACCGGGGTGGGTCTCCCTAATTCGATGTGACTTACCAATGCACACCTTACCCACTTTTTGGCCCAGTTTCGAGGCTGTTTTGTCACTGAAATTGAAATCTTGGTCTTCAGTACAGTTCATTTCGACGCACGCCACGCCCACTGTGGGCGGGGCTCCGCTTAGCTGATGTGTGTTTTGTACTTCGTGAGACCTTGCCCACCCATCCCACACTTGACCCGGTCCTCTCCAGGCGGATCCCGAGGAGCTAGGGAATTTCGTGACAGACATACAGAACGACGAAGCGCTTTACAGTAAGTATGAACTTTTATGTTTCACAGCGGCAATAAAGGCACTATTCATCCTTGCCCCACTAGTGAAAACCGATCGAAATGCTAATCGAGATTTGTCTACGGCTAAGGATTTGCTTAGAATTCGTTTCCGGAGGACTTCAACGCGTAGATTACGAATATCACATGATTCTAAAGCGTAACGCCTGGCATCCGCGCTACAGGCCTCGGCGCTCATATTCGTCTAGCGCCGGCTCCCGTAGCGTAGGCTTAAGCTAACTCGTAATGAATTGTTGTAGTATTTTGTGCTCTACAGGTCAAACTACCCCCCCCCCAACCCTAACGACGAGTTTTCAGCGAATTTGGATAGACTAGATCATAGATTATATGGATTATACAGTGCACATTGTGATGATAGCCAAGGTATGGAGGAGTGGTATGGGCGTGGGATTGAGGTCCATGGCTTGCCGAGGAGCAGGAAGGCAGTGCCGGTCATGCACTGCAAGCCACTAGGTGAGCTCCGGACTAGCTTGGTAGGTCCGCCAACCTCTCCTAAGGAATCCAAGGCCACCTCTACTTTCTATATGAGGTGCTGACGTGGGGTGACGTCTTCAATCGTTACAAGGAAGCTGTAGGGTAACGCTGCCAGTGGAAGCGAGAATAGCCGTAGGCAGGGTGAACCATGAGTAGAGGAAGCTTGGCTAAAAATCCCCATACTATTTGGGGTCTACAATCCACAATTCTCTCCAAGAACCAATCCTGTCCTCTTTTCTCCACCTTAAGCCATACCAGCCATTTGAAAGCCCTCTGTAGGGAGGGGGACGACACTGCAACCAGTTCGTGAAACTTCGAAAAACCCAAGGATTTGATAATATTTTGTGAGGATTTCCCGATCAAGAAGATCAGGAGAACCCCCTTGAAGATCCCACTTTTCAAATGTGCCCTATTATCACTTCCCGGAAACGGCTCATTGTCTAAAATGGCTTCCATAGGGTCAAATACTGGCTCATCCAAGCCGTACGATTTCTAATGTTTTTACATTGTATCACGTATGGAAAAAGGGCAAAGCAGTAAATTTAAAAGGATCCATTCCCAAAGTAGACTTTAAAACTCTCGAGAAAAATTGTTCGAAATGTGCAGAGCAAAAAAATCACTTTTTTCACACATTTGCAATACCAAATTTTAAAAATAAGTTTTTGAGCTGCGATTGGCATACGTTTCACTGGAAACTTGTTGATAACTCCCACAAGTGTATGCCAAAATAGAACAATCAACATGAAATCGCATTTCATACGTTTACGTCTGTGGTGCCTGCGACT